ATGGAGTAACCCAATGAAAGGAAGCTAAAAACCTTGAAAAAAGGTTAGATGAATTGCTAACTAGAATAACCAGCCTAGAGAAGAACCTGATGGAGCTGAAAATCACAACACAAGAACTTTGTGAAGCATACACAAGTATCCATAGCTGAATCGACCTAGCAGAAGAAAGGATATCAGAGATTGAAGATAAACTTAATGAAATAATGCATGAGGACAAGATTGGAGAAAAAAGAATGAAAAGGAATGAACAAAGCTTCCAAGAAATAATGGGACTATGTGAAAAGATCAAACTTACATTTGATTGGTGTACCTGAAAGCAACGAGGAGAATGAAATCAAGTTGGAAAACATTCTTCAGGACATTATGCAGGAGAACTTCCCCAACCTAGCAATACAAGCCAACATTCAAATTCGGAAAATACAGAGAACACCACAAAGATACTCCTCTAGAAGAACAACCCCAAGAAACATAATAGTCAGATTCACCAAGGTGGAAATGATGGAAAAAATGTCAAGAGTAGCCAGAGAAAAAGGTCAGCTTACTCACAAAGGGAAGCCCATCAGACTTAAAGTGGATCTCTCTGCAGAAACCCTACAAGCCAGAAGAGAGTGGGGGCCAATACTCAACATTCTTAAAGAAAAGAATTTTCAACCCAGAATTTCATATCCAGCAAAACTAAGCTTTATAAGTGAAGGAGAAATAAAATCCTTTACAAATAAGCACATGCTGACATCTTCTGTCACCACAAGGCCTGCCCTCTAAGAGCTCCTAAAGGAAGCACTAAATATAGAAGGGAAAAACTGGTACCAACCACTGCAAAAACATACCAAATTGTAAAGGTCATCGACACTAGGAAGAAACTGCATCAACTAACAGGCAAAATAACCAGCTAGCATCACAATGGCAGGATCAAATTCACACATAAATGTAAATGGGTTAAATGCCCCAGTTAAAAAACACAGACTGTCAAATTGGATAAGGAGTCAATGTGCTATATTCAGGAGACCCACCTCACATGCAAAGACATACATGGGCTCAAAATAAAGGGGTAGAGGAATATTTACCAAGCAAATGGAAAGCAAAAAAACAATACCAGGGGTTGCAATCCTAGTCTCTGATAAAACAGATTGTAAACCAACAAAGATCAAAAAGACAAAGAAAGACATTACATAATAGTAAAGAGATCAATACAACAAAAATATATATGTACCCGATACAGGAGCAACCAGATTCATAAAACAAGTTCTTAGAGATCTACAGAGAGACTTAGACTGCCACACAATAATAGCGGGAGACTCTAACACCACATTGTCAGTATTAGACAGATCAATGAGACAGAAAATTAACAAGGATATCCAGGACTTGAACTCTGCTCTGGACCAAGCGAATTTAATCGACATCTACAGAAGTCTCCACCCAAATTCACAGAATATACATTCTTCTCAGCACCACATCACACTTATTCTAAAATTGACCACATAATTGGAAGTAAAACACTCCTTAACAAATGCAAAAGAACAGAAATTGTAACAAAGTCTCTTAGACCACAGTACAATCAAATGAGAACTCAGGATTAAGAAGCTCACTCAAAACTGCACAACTACATAAAAACTGAACAACCTGCTCCTGAATGACTACCGGGTAAATAATGAAATTAAGTCAGAAATCAAGAAGTTCTTTGAAACCAATGAGAATAAAGATACAACATACCAGAATCTCTGGGACACAGCTAAAGCAGTGTTTAGAGGAAAATTTATAGCACTAAATGCCCACAAGAGAAAGGGGAAAAGGTCTAAAACTGATAACATAAATTCACGATTAAAAGAACTAAAGAAGCAAAAGCAAACAAATTCAAAAGCTAGCAGAAGACAAGAAATAACTAAGATCAAAGCAGAACTGAAGGAGATAGAGGCACACACACAAAAAGAAACCACTTCAAAAAAATCAATAAATCCAGGAGCTGGTTTTTTTAAAAAAGGTCAACAAAATTGATAGACTGCTAGCCAGACTAATAAGAGATAAGAATCAAATAGACACCATAAAAAATGGTAAAGGGATATCACCACTGATCCCACAGAAATGCAAACTACCATCAGAGAATACTATAAACACCTCTACTCAAATAAACTAGAAAATCTAGAAGAAATGGATAAATTCCTGGACACACACACTCTCCCAAGACTAAACCAGGAAGAAGTTGAATCCCTGAATAACAGACCAATAACAAGTTCTAAAATTGAGGTAGTAGTTAATAGCCTACTAAGCAAAAAAAAAAAAAACACATGACCAGATGGATTCACAGCCAAATTCTACCAAAGGTGCAAAGAGGAGCTGGCACCATTCTTTTTGAAACTATTTCAAACAATAGAAAAAGAGGGACTCCTGCCTAACTCATTTTAAGAGGGTAGCATCATCTCAATACCAAAACCTGGCAGAGACATAACAAAAAAAGAAAATTTCAATCCCATATCTCTGATAAATATCAATGCAAAAATCCTGAATAAAATACGGCAAACCAAATCCAGCAGCGTGTCAAAAAGCTTATCCACCATAATCAAGTCAGATTCATCCCTGGGATGCAAGGCTGGTTCAACATACGCAAATCAGTAAACATAATCCCTCACATAAACAGAACCAATTACAAAAACCACATCATTATCTCAATAGATGCAGAAAAGGCCTTCAATAAAATTTAACACCTCTTCATGCTAAAAACTCTCAATAAACTAAGTATTGATGGAATTTATCTCAAAATGGTAAGAGCTATTTATGACAAACCCACAGCCAATATCATACTGAATGGGCAAAAGCTGGAAGTATCCCTTTGAAAATCGGCACAAGACAAGGATGGCCCCTCTCATCACTCCTATTTAACATAGTATTGGAAGTTCTGGCCAGGACAATCAGGCAAGAAAAAGAAATAAACAGTATTTAAATAGGAAGAGAGGAAGTCAAATTGTCTGTTTGCAGATGACATGATTGTATATTTAGAAAACCCCATCATCTCAGCCCAAAATCTCCTTAAGCTGATAAGCAACTTCAGCAATATCTCAGAATTCACAATCAATGTGCAAAAATCACAAGCATTCCTGTACACCAGTAATAGACAGAGAGCTAAATCATGAGTAAACCTGTGAGTTGTATTCCTAGGTATTTTATTGTCTTTGTAGTAATTGCTACCACTACTCAGGGAAATAAGAGAGGACACAAACAAACGGAAAATATTCCATGCTCATGGATAGGAATAATCAATATCATGAAAATGGCAATACTGCCCAAAGTAATTTATACATTCAATGCTATCCCCATCAAGCTACCATTAACATTCTTCAGAATTAGCAAAAAACTACTTTAAATATCCTAAGGAACCAAAAAAGAGCCCATTTAGCCAAGTCAATTTTAAGCAAAAAGAACAAAGCTGGAAGCATCATGTTACCTGACTTCAAACTATACTACAAGGCTACAGTAATCAAAGAGCATGGTACTGGTACCAAAACAGATATAAAGACCAATGGAACAGAACAGAGGCCTCAGAAATAAAATCACACATCTACAATCATCTGACCTTTGACAAACCTGACAAAAACAAGCAATGGGGAAAGGATTCCCTATTTAATAAATGATGTTGGGAAAACTGGCTAGCCATATGCAGAAAACTGAAACTGGACCCCTTCCTTACATCTTACATAAAAATTAACTCAAGATGTATTAAATATTTAAACATAACACCTAAAACCATAAAAACCCTAGAAGAAAGCCTAAGCAATACCATTCAGGACATAAGCATGGGCAAAGACTTCATGACTAAAACACCAAAAGCAGTGACAACAAAAGTCAAAATTGACAAATGGGATCTAATTAAACTAAATAGCTTCTGCACAGCAAAAGAAACTATTATCACAGTGAACAGGCAACCTACAGAATAAGAGAAAATTTTTGCAATTTATCCATGTGACAAAGGGCTTATAACCAGAATCTACAAAGAACTTATAGAAATTTACAAGAAAAAAAAACCTCATCAAAAAGATGGGAAAAGATATGAAAAGACATTTCTCAAAAGAAGACATTTATGTGACCAAAAAACATATGGAAAAAAAGCTTATCATTACCTGTCATTAGAGAAATGCCAATCAAAATTACAATGAGATACCATCTCATGCTAGTTAGAAGCGATCATTAAAAAGTCAGGAATCAACAGATGCTGGAGATGATGTGGAGAAATAGGAAAGTTTTTACACTTGGTGGGAGTGTAAATTAGTTCAATCATTGTGGAAGACAATGTGGCAATTCCTCAAGGATCTAGAACCAGAAATATCATTTGACCTAGCAATCCCATTACTGGGTATATACCCAAAAAATTACAAATTACTGATGAGTTTATGTCCTTTTCAGGGACATAGATGAAGCTAGAAACCATCATTTTCAGCGAACTGACACAAGAACAGAAAACCAAACACTGCATGTTCTTCTCACTCCTAAGTGGGTGTTGAACAATGAGAACAAACGGACACAGAGAGGGGAATATCACACAGCAGGACCTACTAGTGGTTAGGGGCCAGAGAAAGGATGGCATTAAGAGAAATACCTAATGTAGATGATGGGTTGATGGATGTACAGCAAACCACCATGTTACATGTTCATCTATGTAGCAAACCTGCACATTCTGCATATGTATCCCAGAACTTAAAGTATAATAATAATTTTAAAAAAGAATCACACAGTTGGAGCACTGAAAGGAACTTCAGGGAATATCCTATTTAACCCTCTTCTCTATCCATGAATAGCAAAAAATCCAAAGTTTTCTCTAAGTTACTCAACATTTATCCCATATATATTTAGTGAGAATTTATTGTTTGCCAAGCATACATATGGTAGGTGCTGATGGTGCCCATATTAATACAACAGCCAGTGATTATTTTGGATTTAAAAATTTTTTTAATGGTGTCAGCTATTCAAGAAATTCTCAACAATATCGTTAAGAAAAATGTAGTTTCTCTTACCATAGATTCTCCCATTAATGGAACATCTTTTAAAGGTCATGATGTTTTGAGTGAGGGTACCCGTTTTGTCAGAGAAAATGTACTCAATCTGCCCCAGTTCCTCATTGAGCGTGGTCGTCCGAGCCTCTGCAGGTGTTGCTTTTCGAGAGTAATACATCTTCCGGTCCCAGTTTATAAAATAGCTATGTCCCAGACGAATTACTTCCACACTGTCATCCATTAAAATGGGGGGAAAAAAGGAAATGCTGCATTAATTTCAAAACACACATTGTTTTGCCAAAATAAGAAGTCTACCAAAGTCTTCAGGGCTTAGAAGAAAATGTAGATTTTCCTCTAAATGTGTATTCAGAGGAAAATCTGTCTCTGGGTCCAGTGATCTTCAGAAGCTTCCTAACAGATTCTGGCAAACCAAAAGGTCTGTTAATAAACCTTTCCAAGTCATTTCCTACAGCATCATAAAAAAATAAGCCAGCTTAGGATAAAGGTTCGGGGATGTTTCATGGTTTTCTGCATTAAACAGGCGCAGGGGAGATTTACTGTGTAACATATAAGTTTGTGTCTCCTCCTATATGATATGGCAGCAGTCCCAATCTTTTTGGCACTGGGACCAGTTTTGTGGAAGACACTTTTTCCACAGATCGGGGAAGGGGGATGGTTTCAGGATGATTCAAGCACATTACATTTATTGTACACTTTATTTCTATTATTACATTGCAATATATGATGAACAAATTATACGACTCACCGTAATATAGGATCAGTGAGAGCCCTGAGCTTGCTATCTTACAACCAGACGGTTACATCTTGGGTTGATGGGAGAAAGTGACAGATCATCAGAAATTAGGTTCTCGGCCGGGCGCGGTGGCTCAAGCCTGTAATCCCAGCACTTTGGGAGGCCGAGGTGGGTGGATCACGAGGTCCAGAGATCGAGACCATCCTGGTCAACATGGTGAAACCCCGTCTCTACTAAAAATACAAAAAACTAGCTGGGCATGGTGGCGCGTGCCTGTAATCCCAGCTACTCAGGAGGCTGAGGCAGGAGAATTACCTGAACCCAGGAGGCGGAGGTTGCGGTGAGCCGAGATCGCACCATTGCACTCCAGCCTGGGTAACAAGAGCGAAACTCCGTCTCAAAAAAAAGAAAAGAAAAGAAACTAGGTTCTCATAAGGAATGTGCAACCTAGATCCTTCGCCTGTGCAGTTGACAATAGGGTTTGCACTCCTGTTAGAATCTAATGCTGCCGCCACTGATCTGACAGGAGGCGGAGCTCAGGTAGTAATGCAAACTATGGGGAGAAGCTGTAAATACAGATGAAGCTCTGCTTGCTAGCCTGCCACTCATCTCCTGCTGTACCAATCTGTGACTTGGGAACTGGGGAATCCTGTGGTAGGGGAAACTAATTATTCTTAAAGATATCTGTCAGATGTCTGATCTAAAGAAACGTGTTGTTCAGAACTTTCTCTCCAATACACTGTTTGATATGGCCTCACATCAAACGAAAGAAAGAAAATAATATTTCCATGAACCATGAACCCAAACCATAACAGATACTGGGTGAAAACAGGAGTGTGTTGTCATACCATTTCTGCCCAGTCACCATGAAAAGAATATTGTGTCACATTCTAGTAATCATTTATGACTTTCCAGCTCTAGAAGCAGAATTTCTGTGGCAAAGTGTATGAACTCTCTCAATGCTCAATGTCATACATAATGCCAAATAGATTTCCAAAAACATCATAAGAACGTAAGTTTCAACCGTCAAATTAAGAATTATCTTCTACCAATAGCAAGTTCAAAAGGTATGTCGCTACTGATTACTGCATTTTTTTTTTTTTTTTTTTTTTTGGGAGACGGAGTTTCGCTCTTGTTACCCAGGCTGGAGTGCAATGGCGCGATCTCGGCTCACCGCAACCTCCGCCTCCTGGGTTCAGGCAATTCTCCTGCCTCAGCCTCCTGAGTAGCTGGGATTACAGGCATGCGCCACCATGCCCAGCTAATTTTTTGTATTTTTAGTAGAGACGGGGTTTCACCATGTTGATCAGGATGGTCTCGATCTTTTGACCTCGTGATCCACCCGCCTCGGCCTCCCAAAGTGCTGGGATTACAGGCTTGAGCCACCGCGCCCGGCCTGCATTTTTTAATCAATGAGTTTAACACTTTTTTCAAATTTTATTGGTCAGTGGCATTTCTTCTTGGAATTAACTAGTTGTATCTGCCTATTTTTCCTATTCTGCTATCAGTGTATTTATTATTGATGTGTAAAAATTCTACACATATTAAATCTATTAATTCTGCCAAAAAAATGCAAATATTTAATCCAATTTATCATTTGTCATTCTTTTTTTTTTTTTTTTTTTTTTTTTTTTTTTGAGGTGAAGTTTTGCTCTTGTTACCCAAGCTGGAATGCAATGGCATGATCTCAGCTAACTATAACCTCCACCTCCTAGGTTCAAGGGATTCTTCTGCCTCAGCCTCATGAGTAGCTGGGATTACAGGCATCCACTATCACACCCTGCTAATTTTTATATTTTTAGTAGAGATGTGGTTTCACCATGTTGGTCAGGCTGGTCTCGAACTCCTGACCTCAGGTGATTCATGAGCCTTGGCCTTCCAAAGTGCTGGGATTACAGGTGTGAGCCACCACACCTGGCCATTTGCCCTTTTTTGTTTTTGTTTGTTTGTTTTTAGAGATGGGGTCTTGCTATGTTGCCCAGGTTGGCCTCAAACTGCTGAGCTCAAGCAATCCTCCCACCTCTGCTTCTAGAGTAGCTGGGACTGCATGCACTGCCACAGGTGGTCGATTGTCTTTTCACTTTGTTTCCAGTTTTTTTATATGAAGTTTTCTCTTTCTAGATGATCAAATTTATCAAAATTTTACTTTGTGTTTTTGTAGTTTTGTTTAGATATGCCTTCTCTATGCCAAGATTATACAGACATCTGTATTTTTCTTTTTGTTTTTGTTGATTTTTTCCATATTTAAGTCCTTATCCCAATTGAAATTTATGACTGCAATTAAAAGTCTGATGTACATGATATATATAAGGAGAAAATTTCAAGTTTTCCAAACAAGATTTTTCTTTTTTTTTTTTTGAGACGGAGTTTCGCTCTTGTTACCCAGGCTGGAGTGCAATGGCGCGATCTCGGCTCACCGCAACCTCCGCCTCCTGGGTTCAAGCAATTCTCCTGCCTCAGCCTCCTCAATAGCTGAGATTACAGGCACGCACCACCATGCCCAGCTAATGTTTTGTATTTTTAGTAGAGACGGGGTTTCACCATGTTGACCAGGATGGTCTCGATCTCTCGACCTCGTGATCCGCCCACCTCAGCCTCCCAAAGTGCTGGGATTACAGGCTTGAGCCACCGCGCCCGGCTCCAAACAAGATTTTTCATCACCATTTGTTAAACAATAAATCCTTTCCCCATTAAACTGGGATGCTTTCTGTGTCACAAATAAATTACTATACTCACTAGCATCTGATTTATGGATTTCAATTTTATTCATTGCTATGACACTTAATGCATCTTGTTTTCATTATTGTAGCTTTATAATAACTGGCAATACCTAGAAGAAACAAAAGCACCTTTATTCTCTTCCTTTTCAAAAATTCTTAACTATAACTACTCATTTATTTTTCCTGATAGATTCAATGTATTCATCTAAGTAAACATCTGAATCAATGTACTAATTTTCATATAAAATTTATTTGCGATTTTGATTAGGCCTATGTTAAACTCTTAATTATTTGAAAAGAACTGATATTTAATAAATTTCAATACAACTTCAAGGAGAAGGTTAAATCTTTTTAGGAATTCCATTTTTTAAAGTACCTCAATTAGTAAAGAATTTTAGTTTACTTTAGTTTAGTTTTGCTTTCTTTTTCACATAGGATCATACTATAGCCCTGTAGATTTGTTCTTGAACATCACAGTCATTGCTCGAATCCATGGAGAATTCGTTAAAGGACTTTCAATCTGAGGATGCTCAAGTCCCTTAAATAAAATGGCACAGTATTTGCATATAACCTATCCGTATCCTCTTGTATACTTTAAGTCATCTCTAGATTACTTATAATCACTAATACAATGTAAATGCTATGTAAATAGTTGTTATACCATATTGTTTAGGAATAATGACAAGAAAAAAACTCTGTACATATTCAGTACAGACATAAGTATCCTTTATTTTTTTCAAGTATTTTCCATCTATGGTTAGTAGAATCCATAGATGCAAAACCTATGGATACAAGGGCAGAGTGTAAAACTTTCTATTGATAGGATAAGTTTTTAAATTGTTGTCTTAAAAGAAAGCTTTTAATCTTTTAATGTTACTTTCATAATCAGACACAACTACCCTACTGAAAGTTTTACAGATTATTCTTATGGATTGTCTAGATTTACTATCATATTATTGTCTGTGTTCTTCCTTTCTAATAGGTTTATTTCAGTTTCACATCTTATTTTATTCATGGATATTTCAGTTTCATGTCTTTGTACCTTAACAAAGATATCCAGAACAGTAAATAATACTTATGTTAATAGCAGGGACCATAACTTATTTCTCATCTTAGTGGAAATTAAGCCTTGGTTTTTCTCATCTGTAAAGTGAGAAAGTTGGGCTAGATGACACTCAAATCCTTTCTGAGTATTAAATTCTGTTTCAAGTTCTAAAAGTACATGACATACCTATGTTTCCCTCCCCAAAAGTGGTATGGTGCCAGTTCATTTTTTAACTATTTGAATGGTAGCACATTTTTTCTCCCTAAAGTTACACTGTGACTATGTATAGTATCATATGATATTAAGATACACAACTCACACTCTTTGTTTATTTATTTATATATTTTCACGTATGGGTTACTGTTAGGCATCCTCCCCATGCCCACTCCACACCCTCCATGTAAATTTCTTGCTAGCTGGTCTGATTCGGCTTTATTTTCTTTATTCCTTTCACTCAAAAAAGCATTAGAACTTATAATAGGCTGGAGTAGTGTCTTGCCTGTCAGAGGCAGCCAATCAGTGTTGAATGTGTGAATTTCAACTCTTTAGACTCTAATTTCACCAATAAGGACGTTAAGACTTAGAGAGGTAAAGTGACTAACCCAAGGTCACATCAGTAATTAGCAACAGAGCCAAGACTAGAACTCAGGGATTTGGTACAGCCAGTGCAGACCAGGACTTAAGAATGGCATTATGAGGGTCATAATACAAATCATGAAGTTTTTTATTTATCTGAAAGTCTAGTAGCTCCTTGTAATCTTAAAGCAAAATGAATGAAACAGAATGCGATTGTTCTGTGTTATAGTACAAGCCAATGGAACTATTCAAAATTTATTCACATTCCTAAAACTGCAAAGTCTGAAGAGAAAACAGGCATCGTTTTTGTTTGGGAAAGGAGGATTCAGAAGAGTCACAGTGGAACATTCAGCTCTTTCTATTACAATAGCAGAGAAAAGGAGAAAAACATTCAGAGTTAGAACTATCAGGCCGCTTAGTGTCTTCTACCTGAATACGCAGAGAAAAGAGCTTATAATTTCACCCAGTATCGGGCAAAACAAGCAACATAGGAATGAGTTCCTATCACTTTGGAAACAACATTCAAAAGCTAATTCCTTGGGAAAATAAGGCTGCATTTCTTAAAATGATGTTTAAAAAAAAAAAACTGTAGTGGGACATACCTTAACACAATGGATAAACAAATTGACATATAGAAAAATCCTACCAGAATAAATGTCCCTTGCTCACCCGGAATTGTTAATAATTCAAAGCAAATACTGCATTCCTATCCTCAAGTGACATATGGCACTAATTTACTAATTGTACCTATTCAAAAGTCTAATGGAAGCTTTGGCAGAAGGTCTTTATCATTCCATACAGAAATACCTGGGAGTTCTGTTTCTACATCTCAGTCTTTTAGACTGAATAACCCAAAACTCCTTGAAATGATTTCTCCCTCAAGTTAAGACCAGAATCACTGTACTTATTTGGTGAGAGAAAAGCTCTCATTTATCTTCATCAATACCATGCTCTAGACTCCTTTTTTTCTTTTGACTTCTTCACTGAGTAATAAATCACATGTAGCGTAGAGATAGATGAAAACACGGTCCCAACTCTGAGAAGACTTAGTTTTGGATCATGCTTCTGCCCCTCATTAGCTCATAATCCTGAGCAAATCCTCTCATCATTTTAAATCCTCTCATCATTTTGAAAGCAATTCACCACCTACTTCACAAGATTATTGGGCAACATAAATGAAATAAAGTACATGAAGTATAAAATATAAAAGGCTAAAAATAGAGAAAGGCATTCATATGGTTTTTTAGGGCATCATATTTTATGGTATATTATACAGTATCAGTCATTTTGAAAATTATAAAAAAGAATTCAAAAGAAAGCAGTTTTTAAGTGATAAAGTATGCTAATGTCAAATATATATGTGTGTGTGTGTGTGTGTGTGTGTGTGTGTGTGTGTGTGTTATCGAAAGGTAAGGTAGTATTATTTGATAAATTAACTCAGAAATTAATTCTTTTAATCCCCTTATTTTCTGGAGAAGCACATATGTGACAAGCAAACTAAGGCACAGAGAAGCCAAGTTCTTTCTCCAAGGTCACACAGCTATTAGTGGCAGTACCAACACAAGAAACAGGGTTTGGACTATTACAAATAGGTTTTTTGTCTACCATAGCACATTAGAAGTATAAGGAATGCTAACCTGAGAATCTGCCTTTGGTCTCTAAAAAAAATCAGTCTTTCAAATCATTAAATGAAAATACCAATGTACTTCAAAGAGAGAATGTACACAGAAAATAATTCCTTCATGAGGACATATGAAACTGCACATGTGCAGATGGTAAGCCACTATGCACATTATTACTCATTTAGGACATAAAGGAATGCTGTAAAAGCTTACTGTAGCTCTTCTGGCAAAGAGCAAGATTTACTACAGACTTTATAATTGGATACAAGCATGAGAGGTTCTCAGAATCAAAGATGAGCCAGTAGGAGATAGTTTAAATAGAGCCCTCACTGACCACAGCTCCAGAGGGCCCAAAGCAATTTGTGGTATTGTGGCCACATGCCACTAAAGCAAGTCAATTTCCCACAACTTGGCATTTCAGTTTCCTGACCACTATCCAAAACAAGAATGGATTTTGTGATTAAACTTGCCTCGCTTCATCATGGCTAGGTTTTTGAAGAGAGACAAAAAGAGGCTCTAAAAATTAGTGGGGGATTTAGAGATGATGATTTTGTGTATTGCTAAAGTACTGATGATGAGAACTGTCAAACAACCAAGTCCCATCTCGGCTCCAATGTTTTTGGGACAGTCTGGCTCAGTCTTGTTAGACTAGGATCAAGAATGTCCCAGGTACAGACTCCAGGTCCAATTTCTAAGCCTTATCAAATACACACACACACACAAACACACACACATTCATATACATGTATATAAACAGAGAGGTGTGTGTGTGTGTGTGTGTGCACATGTGTTCTGTTTGTATGTGTAGAGAGACAGAGAGTCAAAAAGAGAGACCACATTAGCTCTAAAATGGAACCAAATCTAGTCCTAACAGATCAAATTGTGGTAGAAGTTATAAATCATACTTCTTATCTTACAATAGACAAGCACCACCTACTATATTTTAACTCCTTTACATACTCACTTATAATTACTAATAATAACAAGAAAAGCTAGTATTCATTAAGCTTTTATAATGTGTCAGGAATTCTTAGAGCTTTATAGGTATATATTCATTCCTTATGCAATCCTATGAGATAGAACTATTATTTTTTTCTTCTTCTTCTGCTTTTTTTTTTTTTCTTTTTGAGACAGAGTCTAGGTCTGTCACCCAGGTTGGAGGTTGGAGTGCAACAGTACAATCTCGGCTTACTGAAGCCTCTGCCTCCTGGGTTCAAGCAACTCTCCTGCCTCAGCCTCACAAGTAGCTGCGATTACAGGCACCCGCCACCATGCCCAACAAATTTTTTTATTTTTAGTAGAGACAGAATTTCACTGTGTTGGCCAGGCTGGTCTCAAACTCCTGACCCTGTGATCCACCCGCCTTGGTCTCCCAAAGTACTGGGATTACAAGTGTGAGCCACCGCACCTACCCTATTTTCTTCATTTTTAAAATGAGGGACCTGAGGCACTAGAAGATGATGTCTCTTGCCCAAAGTTATGGAGCTAGTAAGTGGTAGAATAGGGCCTGAATCCATGTATCTTTAGAACCAGTCTAGTGGCAAAGAAGCACCCTCTCTATAGATCTCCCCAAAATGTTCTTCCCTTTCTTACTCAAAATTTACCCAATTCTAATTGATCAGGTTACATGAGATTATACCGTAGTCCATATATTACAAAGGAAAACATTTCTAAGAAACCAAATCAAATCAAGAAGAAAATTAACCACATTTAGTGTAATTTGAAAACATAAAAGTGAAACAGATTAAACAGGTAAGCTGCCCCATTTGTAACAGATGTCGCAGATTGTAAGCAGTTAGAGCAAGACATGTATTGCACTGCTGAAATTTTAAAACAAACAAAAACGATTATAAGAAACAAAAGTTTTAATGAAATAATTTCATTAAAATATGAACTCTCATCTTACCTCACATATAAGGAAATGGGTACAACTGTATTGAGAATAATAATATATGACCAGAATGTTAAGAATCCGGAGAACACAGAGCTCTTCTCTCCTTCATTCCAAAAGAGGAAAGTTCTGAATTGGCCCCCAATTTGACTTTCCCAGATTGAATTTCCTATTGCAAGAATAATTCCCAAGCATATCAGAAACCCAAAAATCTGAAATAAGATAGAAGTCTGGTTAAGGTTAACTTGAACCTAAAAACAGTCATATCAACATGATCTAATGGACACGTCTAACTCCAAGAAATCGTTGTTTAAAAAGTAAGTATGTAAACCTCTTTTTACCATTAATCATATAAATAAAGTTTCACATTTTTATGTCAGGAACTCAGCTAAATATTTCACATACATTTTTCTCACTGAATTTGCCTATTGACTCTCTAAGATGGGAACAGTCATTATCCCCACTTTGTAGCTTAAAAATAAAGTAAAATGGAAGCACAATAAAAACTATGTAACTTGTCTATGTTCACATAGTCAACAACTTAACATCCTCCGTTTATCGTTAAGTATATATATTTAGGTGGCTTAATTAAAGAAGACCATATGCATTAATTTGCCCTGGATGGTCCCAGTTCACAACTATTATCCAGATATAATAGTAATAATGTTGCATTTCACCTTCAAGGGTTTCCTGTTTGGATGATAAATTATATGGCCACCCAAGGCATAAAAGCAAAAGAAAACATCAATGATAAGGTACAGTTTCCGACTAGTCAAGTCTCCTGGCTATAGATCTGGCTGTACTCAATCCTTACTTGAGGTCAACAAGAAATATAAGGATAATTAAAATACTTCACAACATATACACTTTACTTTTAGGATAAAAAAAAAGTGGGAAGCAACTTAAAAACAGTTAGCAGACTTTTAAATTGTTATTAGTAGTAGCAAAAGGAAAAGCACATATTTGTAGGTATAACAACTAGAGAGACACAAGGTCAATCTACTGTAAGTCTAAAACCCTTCCTGGGAAAGGAAAGGCCACAAACTCAGTGAACATTGTAAGACCTGCATTGAACAAGATGTTGCAGGGACTTTGTTCAGCTGTCACACATATTGGGAGTTGAGACCAGCCGAAGTTGAGAGAGGAGTGAGGTGAGAAAACAGAAATGCATTTTCCTATAGTTCCTTATTCTTCCAAGAAAGAATATTCAGAAACTCTAGAGCTGCTTTCTTCATTATTCCATAATATGGGCATATAAGAATAGGTATACAAGAAGAAAAGATTGGGGAAAGCCTGATTTAAAGTATATTAGAAAACCACATATTAGAGGAAAGTAGGACTATGAATTCCTAAAAATTCTATGAGTTTCATACCTATATCATAGTATCCTCTTTAATGGCTGAGACTACAAATTAATTAAACTTAATGACTTTAGAGCATTAAAATTGGTGATACTTAACATTAAATGCCATAATTTAAGAATTGATTTGGCTCTTAACTCCCCAGTGAATCATCCTATTTTTTAGTATGAAAGACTGGGTCTGTTTGCTTTGTGGTGGGAAGACACACCCTGCATGCCCTGAAGTGGAGTCAGGGCTATTTAAATGAGGAATTCTTGCAGGGCAGCATGGTGACAGCCCCGTATGAGCATTTCTTCTTAGCTTCATAGGCTCTGTATGAAGCGGACTGGTGTTACTGGAGAAAACCCCAGGTCTGCAGGTAATACTGAAAGTAAAACACAGAGCCTGCCCAGTATTTAGTGAACAGCAAGTGCTAATTTCCTTCTTTCCTTATTCAGAGTTCAACTATTACATAACAGGTAAGCAAATATATATTGAGCTCTGATTCGTTATGACTGTGAGCCTGTGATAGGGTACACGAGAAAGCAGTCTGAAGTTACAGTCTTTATATTTCAAAGTCACTGTCTTTGAACTTTACCCCTATATAAGCAGACAAAGCAGTATTACATAAAGACTAGATATATATCAACAGTATGAGATAGCACAGGATTAACTGACAAAAGGATGGAATATAAGGAATATCTGAATGTTTTTGGTAAACAGGTAGTAGAGAAGATCAAGTCAAAAACTTCACAAGTGAAAAAACAATTCATAAGAGAAAGATAATCATGGGCTAAGGAGGTTAGAAGCCTCTGTGAAGGAGAAGAACTGTGACTTGGGCCTCAAAGGATTCATAACCAGAACCACCTACATAATTTGCAGGGTTCAGTGCAAAATGAAAACATGGGATCTCCTGTTCTAAAAGTAAGTATTTCTAGATGGCAAGAGAAGATCAATAAACCAAATATAAGGCCCTCTGGGTGTGGGGCCCCGTGTGGTTATAGAAATCACACACCCATGAAGCTGGCCCTGCCTACCATAAGCTATGTAGACAGGGCCTGAAACAAAAAACAACAAAAACACCAAATGGACTTAAAAACTATGTTTGGTTTTTCAAAAACAAATCCTTGGGATATGGGGAATTTGCAAGATCATGAATACCTCCATAAACAGTAACCTACCTCTCATAATAAATTCTACCACTGGTTGAGAAATTAGCATAATCTAGAAAATAAAAGGCAGTGTAACTGAGTCTCAAATGCAAAATCCCCAAAAACAAACTCCACAAGGAGAATGTAGACATCTTAAAGAATTCCCAGCAAGATAGAGTAAATATATTAAGATAACAATGACTAGTGATACTGTCTACTTTTGTAACTTACCCATAGTACTAGAGTATTCATCAGTCTATCAATGCTTGTCCTTTTAAACTTTGTCTTACCACTGTTTTGCATTAGTTTAGTGTCAGGACCTGTCAAACAAAAAAGTAAATGACTTTGAAATGATATGATTATGTATTCTTATTATTGCTTATGTCAAATGTTTCTGAAATAAAAAATATGTATTTTTCAAAATAATTTAACTTTTATTATGAGCAAGGGCCATTTCAGAGCATTTCCCATAGAAAAACCTTACGGAGTAGAACTTGACCTCTCAGTGGTTCACAACAGCTGCCCTAGCATGAAACGTTACAGCAGAACTAGAGTCCTGAATTAGCCATTCCAAACAAGATCACAGAAATGCAAAGTTTGGAGCTATATCCCATCCAAAGGATAAAGCACCTCCATCTCTATGATGACACGAAGCAAATCAGGAGAGTATTTCCCATCAAAAGACCAAGAAATTTCCTCATCTTCAAGCAGGAAGATAAAGAAACATTCATGGACAAGCATACAAAAAGTAGCTTTCTTTTTCTCGGTGTAAGGAAGATGCAAATAAGGAAACATATGATCATATGTTTATTTCCCTGACTAAAACATAAAAGCACATATACTGCCTCATTTCTAGGGATTTCTCAAGTCTTTACTATGGCAATGCCTCAAGCAGCAAGAGCACTGCTAACACTGACAGCTGACAGTATTTAGAGGAGTTGGGAGAACTTTTCTAGGTTTGGAACACTTTTGAGTCCTTAATGAACATTTTGTTGTTGTTGAGGAAGGTCAGTTAAGAAAAACATTCTCATTTTGATTGCACATGGTCAACAGGCCCAAAACACATATTAATTTGGTGTCACAATAAACAGGACTTTTAAAATCAAGGGCTGGCAATTGAAGCTATGAGTACAATTTGAGTAGCTTTATGAAATGGTGCTACTGTAAGCCTCCTTAGCAAGAAGGGGCCACCTAGGGGCCACAGAAATAAAGCAGAGAAAAGAAATACGGTGGGCAAGAAGAGTAAGAGACACCCCACCCACCCCCATCATGCACAGTCTTTCCAGAACCCACTCTCCTATTTACAAACAGTGGAAAAAGCTACGGGGTATAAACAGAAATGATTACAATATCAAGAAGCCTTTTCCAAAAGGTCTGCTTGACCATCGCAAAGTACAAAATTAATAGCACAGCCAAAGACTTTCTTTCATACTCTTACTCACCATAAAAGCAGATTGATTAATAGATAAAATGACAAAGATGATTAAGATGGGGTTAATAAAAAGAAATTAAGCAGTAGCTTAATTTATAGCACCCACTGTCTAATTAAAGCTCTAGCATCCTTAAGAATAACATCAAGACATCAGAAGTTCCTCATACAGTGGGGCCACCTGTACTATTTTCAGAGTAATGGTGTTTTCTCCTGGTGAAGTCAACTCCAGAAGTCAACTCTGAAGTCAACTCCAGAGCACTACTTTGCATGAAATGAAAGCACTGTACTCATCAGAACGTCCAGAATCATAGACTGTACTTGTGTACATTGCAAGAAAGGTTCCCATAGATCTGGCCCTGGGTCATGTGCTGTACCTGCAAAAATGACCATTCCAAAACACCAGCTGGTATTTCTCAGGATGCAGCCTCTCAGGATTATCTTCTCATTGTTGAGGGAGTGCTTGCTGTCTTTCCAAGAGAGACTTCCCACGAATTTATCTAACTTGTTGTTAGGTGCCTCACAGACAACAATCCCTGCAAAATATATATATTAAAAAGGAATGCTTTACATCTCACCCAGAATTCTCTTCAGAAGCCCACAGCACTGTTTAAAACCACAGTTTCCTTCTCCTTTAGACAGCATGAGGTTACATATACAGAACTGTGCTAGAAAAAATAAGCTGGGAGGTAGGAAAATGGAAAGCCATCAACTATTTTGAAACACAGCTTTTGTACTGTCCAAATAAAAATAGAACAACAACAACAACAACAACAACAGAAACCTTAGAATCCATGGGATATTTTTTCCTTTAAAAAAAAAAAAACTTTACTTCTAGTTTATTTTTGAAAAGATAAAGCAGTGACTGTCAGAAAAATTTCTCTTACTCCATCTCTTTGAGCTAAATGTGAACTTCTACACAGTTTCAAATAGCATACTTCCAGTCTCACAACAAAAGTTAACTATCTTTCTAAGCTCATAATCAGGATTTCAGAGGTCCTACTGTATTCCACCAGAAAGAAACCTGTGCCTCATTTGCCACATGTGTCTGAGAATGCGTGTGATTCCTTTCAGCTGTTCTGTGCTTCTTACCTTGATTAGATTCAGAGTTCTGGGGGACTCTCAAAGGCACCATATAACTTGCTCCTAACTAACCAGAAGATGGTTCTAGTTTCTTTAATTCCAAACCCATTCCAAACCAAGGCCAAGCTCATTCCAAATCAACAAATCAATTTGTTCCATTATTTCAATATGAAAATATACATTCAGGATGGGGGTTCTCTAGATAGAAAAAGAAACCAGAAATAATCTTTCACAGACCCTGTCACAAAACATAACTATTAGACTAATATACATATCCACTGCAAACAGGTGAGGTTAAATTTTTATACATAAGTACAAAGACACGAAATGACAGGGACAGAGGGAGGAAGGAAAAGAGAGGGGAGGTATGAAAAAGGAAACTTTGGGTAGATCCCATCAGGGTTCGAGCCAGAGTTGGAGGTGAGATTACTACCTACAAGGTTCTTGCTCTCAAAAACAAAGAAAAAATACATTTTCATTTAATCAGAAGTCAAAAGGACAAGTTGGAACATAAAACGTAGCATTTGGAAAATAAAAAGAAGACTGTATCTTTAGCACTGATTAAAGAGAAAGGGGACCATGTAAGCCTAGAGATCCTCTATATTACACTGACTCCATCCTGCCTCCAAGCTGCCTTCTGAACAAAAGAGGTTTCTTATGTGGGTCCCCTTTCTCCCTAGGATGCTCCCTTTAAAACTCTTAGATCAAGGTAATAGCAGCCAGTTGCCACGTGGCCAGTCACTCTTGACCAACCAGATCACAGACTTTGGATTAAAAAAGCAAAAGCAAATAAAACTGTAAAAGGAATGAGGGACTCACGGCCTCAGGACTGCTTTTCCAATATCCACCTGTCTCTCCTCAATATAAGAAAAGTTCTGCCTAAAGCTTCCCCACTTAAGGCACTCACTAGCAGTTTCCCAGACATCCCTATTTCCCACTGCTAAATAAAGACTGCTGGCAGGAGGATTTGGATAAGACAAATAATCTTGCCAAGGGAAGGGGCAGAATTCTGGTTAGCTCCATTATAGCCTACCACTGACAGTAAAAAGTAAATTAAAACTGAATTAAACTGGCTCTACTTGTTTGGACAACTACATTGTAGATGAGGAGACCTTTTCTAAATCCCTGAATTCATATCTTTTTTTCTTCATCAATAATTTTCACTCTGAATAGTAAAGTCTTGATTTGGCTATCACCAGCAAAATCTACATAAAATAACAAGTTGACAGCAATGCTTAAAGTTTATTACAGATTCCTGACCCAAGACTCAATTTCTCAGGCTTCAAACTTAGCCACTTAAAAAAAAAAAAATGTGCTTTGGGCAAAAACAACATGATATGCAAGCCCTGCCAATAGGAATATAAAAAACAGGTTCATTTGATCATTTCTATTGTCATAAGAAAAGACTGACATGGAGGCAAATACAGCCTTAAACATGTTGGCTCGCTCCTCCCTGGCCTCACAACAAGGGTGTGGTTCTAGACAGGAACAGGCAGTAAGCCCACGGGGTTCTGCCTGGGTTCTTGGAGGCTAAACCCCAATTCAGTCTTTCTCAAAGAGTGTGGTCCTGGTGATGTAAGTTCTAAATACAGAGCCCAGTCAAAACAAAATGGTGGGAATAAAGCCAAACTACGCTTGTTTTTATCATCAGAAATGCTCGGCGTCCCCTTTTTAAGCCCTATTTGCATAAAACACATGCTTCCCACTTTCTGTTGTACCACTTTCCAAAAGGGATGAACAAGCTTCTTTGAAGCGAGCACTGTCTTCACCTCTGTATTCTTGTAACCTATTACACTATCTACGTAATAGGATCTTTGTTGAAGAGATGCATAGAAAAAAATTCAGATGATTTCAAGAGAGAGGTTGGGAGATGAGATGGATATTAGAGCATATCTAAGAAAAATGGAAAAAGTGGGTGTATTTCCATGATAGTAATGAAGGACTAGAAAACTAAATAGCCCAGGAACAACTAGGGGGCTTAGTTTGGCCTAAATCTGACTGGAGCCAAGTATATCTGACAGCACTGAAAACAGGTGATAGCATTAAAGTGCATTAGAAGCAACCAGAAAGAAATCCTAGCCATGAAGCATAACAAGGATGAGGGGAAAACTCTCTTAGGACCCTTCTTCCTTTCACTAGTTCAATCAGAGAAAACAAAGAGGCAGAAAATGATCAGCTTGACAATCAATGAGGAAACAGTTTAGGAAAAATCACATCATTTCTCACAGTCATTTATTGAATATATGACTGGAGCAAAAAGTCATCTTTAATGGGCAATAATAAATCTGAAAAAAAGTCATGTCAATAATGAAATGTAAATACAACCAAACTAGCTAGTTATGTCCGTTTGACCCTCTAAAAAGAAGACATGAAAGCAGATTGCAATTTTTCTATTTTACAATTGTACAGAAATGCTCTAGACCCATACAGACAAAATCTACAAGATCTCAATCTGGACCTTCCTAAGCATTCTATGTTTAGTCAGCTGGATGGTTGGTTGATCAGCAACTTGACAGACTTCTCAAGCTAAGTATTTACCTCAAAGTGAAAGTGTAGTTTATCATAAAAATGGAACTCAGTGCTGGATATTCTATGATATTCCAGAGAAGCTGGCTTCATCTCTTTATGTATATTACTAATAGAAATAGTTCTTGATTATCTGTACTTCAACTCTTCCATAAGACAAAGTATCCAGCAAATAAAACATCAATATTTCTGTTCAAGAATTTCTCTAGCCAAGAGTTTCTTAGCGTTTTAGACATTGCCCACTACTGTTTGCCCTGATGATTGTGACAAATAGTTATTTTTGTCTTAGAAAGAAGAGTGTCACCTTCCTATTTTCTAAAGGTTCTTTATTCTTCAACCACCAAGGCTCACCCATCCATTATTACCACCATAATGGCCATGTCGGCACCAGCAGTAAAGAGGGGAGTTATTCTTCACACCTTCTATAGTTAATCTATGCCTCATATCAGCTGTGCTGTTGGGCTGTGCTCCTGCCCAGGTGAATGGGAAAACTATCTGGTAAGCAAAAAAACTCACAAGATGCTAACCAAGCCATTTTATTTTTTTTTAACCAAAAAGAGATGCTTATTTTTCCATGTTTTAATTACACACATGCTATTCTTTAGAAAGAACCACAAAATACACAAGGATTCCTGAATAAAAAGTCAACCTTTCCCTCGTTCAGAATTCAGCATTAACAGTCATACAAAATATGTAAACTTGTCATGAGTTGCAGAAAACAGATCTCAGTTCAGTCAGTAACAATATGCAAAAGATTCTTAAACACATTGGGACAATTTACATCCGGGGCTTTCCCCAAGGAATAAGAATGTCCAGTTTACATAATAATTGACAAGTATTTCAGTTACTTGTTTACAAAGGCTTTTCAATTCCCATAAGATTTTAACATGAAAATCAAGGCCCACTCAATCGCTTTTTATATTATATTTGATCTATAATATTAGATCAAGTTATGTATCTTTTCTTACAAAATTCAAAAGACTCTAAATCATTTTTTTGATGTTTAAAATGTATAAAAATATTTGTATGAGAACTTTTCAAATAAATGGATTTACCTGCCAAAACCCAACTCTCTTGTGTGCACTGGTCTCTACACTTGGCCAAGTCTTCCATAAACTCTCATCAGGGATCCTGACATTCAAAATCACTGAGATCATTGCTATTTTTTAAAAATATGAAGACCTCATCCTTGTCCTGGATGCACTTGATCTCTTGTAACTAATTTTGCACCTTTAGGGTTAAAATATTTTAAATTTTTATTTATTACCCTAATCAGAAGCTAACCTCTTGTGCTAACTTTCCCTAAGTCTCCAATGCTCTCTTTCTACTTTAGTTTACAACCTGGGTTTTTGTGTCCTTTGTAAAATACGCTTTGCCAGAAGTCCAGGATTTCTATTCTGGCTTCTCCACTTAACAGCAATATGACCTCAAGAAAGTTAATCAGTTTACCTGGGTATTGGGTTCTTTATCCATAAATTAACAATAATCTCTTCCTTCAAGAGCTGTAAGGGTTATAAGATAATGTGTGAAATTACTCAGCACGGTGCCTAGGTACACAGTGAGTTCTTGCTCACATATCAACATTGTGTTTAGGGCCTGAGAACTTTAGGACCTTTACCTTATCAAAGGCTTCTTTAGGGATAAGCCCTCTCAAGCCTGTCTTCTCCCCTGGGAAATAAGCTCTATAGAAGCATGGACTGAGCATGACTTATTAAGCACTGTTTCCCAGGTTTAACAAATCCCTTGGCCTTGTGTTAAATATACATTTGCTGAATGAATGAATGAGTGAATACATGAAAGAAATAAGCCCACCAGAAAGACACTTATCTTTCAATATAGATCCAAAAGTGAGGAGACAAAGAGACTCACCAGAGACATCCTGAGGTTGCAACCCAACTCAGTTCTGACTCTATGTGTCCAAAACTTGGAAACCCCAGTGGGAACTTCTCTGGGAACAGGAGTGGGAAATTCAGGTATTTAGATACTTGGAGGGTGTGCTTTTATTATTCAAGGACACAAAACTGGAATTTGGTGCTAGAGAAAGTATTCTGGCAAATCTCAGAAGAACAACCATGCAGTAACTAGAAGCAAAAAATAATGCCATACCCAGATTTACCCAGAAGTCACAAATTAAAACATATACATAGCACAAATAGAACATGGTAAAGAGTGTCCCTCACATATCTGCCTCATTGATTATACCTTGCCAAAACTAGCCATGGCATTTCCAAACATACACAATGCTGATACCCTATTTTAATTTAAACTAAAGCTTACAATATCTGGTTTTGATTCCCATAAGGCAAGTAAGTCTTTTTCACATCACCAGAGGAGAACCTGAAATCTACTTATATTTCATTAGGACAAAGGTTAATAAAGAAGACACAAAAGAGGGAGTAGAAAAAGAGCACAGAGCAAAGGATCAAAAGAACTCTGATAATATATGGAGAGATAATTTATAATTCTACATACTTTGTTTTCCATCTTGTACTTAGAAGGTGCTTACTAAACAGGCTTTAATTAATAAGGAAAGAGTGATGAAATCAAAGATAAAGAATGACAAGAGACACTGCGGGTGAAGAAAATAACAAAGAGTGAAGGAGGAAGGTGAGATGAGAACAGTAAGAAAGACTACAGTAAAGAATGGGAAGAATGGTGAAAAGGAGTAGTTACAAAACCATGTGCAGTTAGTGGCTAATGTGCGAGAGTGTGTGTCTGTGTGTGAAACAAAGATATTAAAACTGAAATGTGTAAATTAGGACTTGGAAAGAAGCGGATGCAGAAAAAAATTGGAAGGCCACAGGGAAGCAAAAGTCATCATGGGAAAGATTTAGGATTTATTAACTGTCCAAATTCTTTCAAAGACTTCCATACCACATCTTGCATCATCCTTTTGGTCTTTAAATTTGGCTACTAACTGGGGGCGGGGGGAATCTAATTTGTATATTGTTTCTAATTTATTTTCCCTTAATTCATCTATTCATTCTTCTGATGCTTTCTTAGAAACAGGAAATTATATTTCTATTTATTAGGATAAACTCACAAAACACCCTGTTGCCTTGAACTTTAAGGTAGATTGAAATGCAACCAAAGATTTTAAAATGAAAAAGTAAACTTAACAGAAGCCTGGATTTTAGCCCAGAAGTGTAACAGACTCATGAACTTGGCATTACATGTTTTCTGAAAAGCTGACCACAGTTTAAGTATATATAATCATAAAAAAGAGAGGTCTGTGCTGCCTTTATTTGGGAAAACAATTATTCATTGGGAATTTGGTGAGTTGCCTATTCTGTATGAAGCAAACTGAAGTCATTATCTAGTAAGTAATAATTATTAACACATCTTAAAAGTAAATTTTATGAAGTATTTTTAAATGGCTATTTTTATATACAAGCAAGTCCTTTAACTTCTCAAGACCTGTTACCTCATCTCTAAAATCTTAGGGGAGGAAGTGCTTTAAGCCTGAGCAGTACCACTTGTATTGGTTTAAATTTGGAGCTATGTTCCATTTTCTTAGTTCAGAAAGGATCTGAAGTAAAGACATTCTAAAACCACCATGACGGATGGTCCATCTCCTAGACACCTGCCTTCCAGGAGGAGAGGATCCAGCACTCCTTCTTGGTCCTACAAAGCCACCTCAGGAGGCTTAAGCTTCCTCTTCACCCCATGGTTTCACACTCCCTTTCCAATCTCTTTATGTCAGGTCTTTCCTTTGCCCTCACATGCTTTTCTGCAGCCTGATGCTGGTCTTCGTCTCTGCCCTCCACTGGACCTTGTGACTATTTATTCATTCAGCAGGGATTTACTGAGTACCTACTATGTGCTAGATGTTGTTCTAGGAGCTTGGCATACATCAGTGAATAAAGCAAAGATCCCTGTGTAGATTACACTGAAGCAGATTAAGATGGACAATAAATAACTTTAAAAATAAATGAATTGTCCATGTACGAGATAGTGCTAAGTGCTAGAAGAAGAAGAATAAGCAAAGCAGAGTATGGTGGGTTGAGAGTGTAAGGAGTCATGCTGAAGAGAAGGATACTTAGCCCCAGTCCCACAGTTCCATGTAAGAAAGCCACCTAATCCAGCCTGGCTCCTTATGCATTATCCTGGCATTGCCTTACATGGCCACAATTCTTGGAGGGTGTGGTAGAGACAGTTAATGCTCAACAAGTATTCATATTTGTTATTTCCTAACCTCGCTTGCAGTTAAGTCATGTCCAGGTGACATCGTTAGCCAACGAACTATGAGAGGAAGAAGAATTTAAAAGCCACTGAGTCTCTTTCATCTTACTCTTAGCCTGATACAGTGACCTCAGATGCCATTAGTTTAGATACTGTGGGTCCATGATGAAAAAGGCCACCCAACTCACTCAGAATGTGACATGAGCAAGAATAAACCTTTACTGTGTTTATACCACAAGATGGCAGGGTTGTTTTAACTGCATCATAGTGTAGCCCAGGGGTCCCCAAACTATGGCCCACGGGCCACATGCGGCCCCGAGGCCATTTATCCGGCCCCCGCCGCACTTCAGGAAGGGGCACCTCTTTCATTGGTGGTCAGTGAGAGGAGCACAGGATGCAGATGCATCCTGTGCTCCTGGAGTACTGTATGTGGCGGCGGCGCCGCAAAACGTGGTGTCGCTCATGTACGGTACTACTTCCGGTGACGCAGGACACACCCGTCATGGCTCCGGAGGCACGTCATATGACGCACATCCGGTCTGTGGCTGCGGCGCCCCACATCACCGGAAGCAGTGTGAAATAACAGCAGAAGTAGGAAGAAAGGCAAAGCACTATAACCATTACTGCACAGTACAATGGTCCCCATACTCCCCCAAATGTGCAACAACATAATGGCCCCTATAACCTCCCTTTGCCCAAAAGTCTCCCCCCGCATTACAACACACCGTGTTTCCCCTATTATAAGACCCTGTCTTATATTAATTTTACCCCCAAAAGACGGGGGCTGTCTTATTTTTAGAAGGTGTCTTATAATAGGGGAAACATGCAGCAGTGGGCTTCCCACAGAAGAGGCCCACCGCTGCTGCAGATGTCCAGGATGCTGTATACACAGTGTCACAGGCTGATCACCGCCATCCCTGTATACAGCACTGGAGGCGGTGCTGGGCCTGTGACACTGTATACCGCTGTCTGGGATAGTGGAGGCAGCAGCGCTGGCTGTGAAGGGTGTCACACCTTGCATAGTCCAGCCCTCCAACGGTCTGCGGGACAGTGAACTGGCCCCCTGTGTAAAAAGTTTGGGGACCCCTGGTGTAGCCTATCTGGGCAAACATCCAGGAAAGAATAGGACCTAAATAATTGTAACAATCATGTTCTGCTTTTTGATGGTTAACAACACTAAAAATCATGAATGTCTACCTCCTCATAGATTGATAGAGGTATAAAAGTACAATTCTGCCAGGAAAGAAATAAGTAATAATAAATTATATTTAGCTGACCCTTTTAGGACTCCACAAATATTCAATGAGGTATTTTAAGCAAGTATTTTAATTCATTAACACAATTTACTTCTCTTGGATTCACATAACAGTAACATTTCATTGAAAAAATTACTTAGTAGAAAATGTGTAATTTGTTTTATTTTAATCAAAATATTTCTTGGACCATTCAGTTTCCTGGCTACTTCCCTGACTTAAATCTCCATTTGGAGGAATATTTTTTCTATAAACATCTATTATAAAAGCACTCATTTAAGAGAAATTAAAATATTAACAGAATCCAGACAGACTTTACAAGCCAATGCAAAGCACAGGCAATGTAAGCTCTAAGCTCTGCATTGGAGAAACTTTACAATATAAACTTGCCTGTGCTTTAACTCATGTGATTATGCTAAGACTCTTGTCCATGTTTTCCTAAGTGGATACCCCAAAAACACATTTTAAAAGACTGTCTCAACTCCTGAAAATTCATGAGTAAATAAAGCCAATCTGAATGGATAAACTAATGTTTGGGGCCAGACTAACAAGTAGGCAAAGCAAGAGACCATTAAGGAATTAAAGGAAGACTCCAGAGATTCTGTCTGCAGCCTATCATGGTGCCTAAAATCCTATAATGAGTGTCTCTTTCCTTTCTCTTAAAGTATGGTGTTTCTCTGTGGTGTCTTAATTATAAACACAGCTATCCCTAGAATGGACAACATCTGGAGGTCATTCCATGAATACATAAGATTAACCGAATAGAACAAGCCATAGGTAGAAAAGTAGAGGCAAGAGAGGTTAAAGATCAAGGGACCAGCTGAATAGTATGAAGATAGAGATAGTAAAATCATGGTCTGAAATCAAAGGCAACAGATGACCAACTGATTAATAAATCAGAATATTCTTCTTGAACACCTAATATCTTCAAGACATTATGCAAAGCACCATGCAAGGTACAGAAATACATGAGGCAGGATGACTGTCTTCATGAAGTTTGAGGTCTGGTAGTTAGTCTTTGTTATGGAGCCAGAAAATCAATGGATGGTTAGACCTAGAGCTAGAAATAAAAGGATGGCCAATATTCCTCCAGGAAGGCCAACATCAGGCAAGTAAAGGGCATTATGGGATTGAAGGAAATGATATCTAAAAAGAAAACAAGCATGAAATGAACGATGAACTGATAAAGCCATTCTCCCCTTGGCAAACATTTTTACTCGTTTCAGCATGAGAAGAAATTACAAGCTTTGTTGCCTGGAGAATTTTATGTCCTTCCACCAAATAAAAAAAAAAACATAAATTGGATCTCAGATAATTAGTTTGTTGCATTGCTTTTTGGTTTTGAGGCTTTTGTTCATCTTTTTAAGACACTTACCATCAAACCTTGCAAGTCTGCTAATATCTGCTCCAAGTTCTGAAGTAACTGATAGCGCCTGGTGAACTTTTAGGTTCGTTTCCCTGTGAAATCATTGACATGACATGAATTTTTATACAGAACAACACAACAGCATCCTACCAAAGCAATCAGGTGGATGCAGCACATACAAAGCCAAATCTGAGATCCAAGAAACCCCCCTTTAAATGTCATTCACACTTCGCACACTGTTTCAGGAAAGTGGGTAGGGCTTCTTGGGCTCCCAAGCATTGGCATTCTACCCATGGCACATCTTTATAACAACACACTGAACTGTTTATCAGTTTGAAAGAATGGAAGACATAATAAATATGGTTTCATTTGAATCTACTCAGACATCATGCATGAGTTACAAAACACATTGGGAATAAGAACACAATAGCCAACTAAAGGAGGCTAATATCAATCCAGAGTCTATTATCTAGATAGAAGTTTTACTTGCAAAAGATGGTCATGAAAAATTTTGTAGTAGCTAAAATTTAAATGGGAAAAGGAATACAGCTTTCATTTTCTTGAAGAATCAATCCAAGAAACCCGTTAAGTCTAAAATACACAATTTGAACAATCTCAGCAAGTCATGTGAGTTGGGCATCTTCTTATAGGTGGAACCACACATACATTGGACAGATGGCTCTCTAATATTCATAAATGCCAGCAGTTAAGATTCTACAGGCATCACTTACATCTTGTGTTTAAGGGCTTGCCATCCCAGTTTTCTCACTGAATTCAACCTAATTTTCTTCTACTGTAGCGTAAGATCAATTATCAGAGCTCTATCTTTTAAGGAAATGTTTAGTGGTATGTTCATTCACTCAACAAATATTGATTAAATACATACCTTAGTCACCCAAAATACTCAGTGCTGCCCCAAGAGGATGACTATCCTCTTGGGGGAAACAAGTGGTAGATAAAAAAGCAAATATCACAGTGTGGAATTTTGTGCAAACCCATTAAATAACTCATTTTAGAGAGCCAAAAAGAGGGTACCTAAGAAGGCATCCAATCTTAACCTTCCATAAATGAGTTTCACAATGATGTAGGACAATGTGAGAACAACTCAAAGAATATCCATTGCTAAAATAGCTTTCTTCAGGAAAGACTAAGTTGGATGTATAACTGAAGCTAGTTTGTTTAAAAGTAATCTTACTAATCAAAAATCTGCTGATTCCTAGGAGCAGAGATGAATAGGAATTGAGACAGTCTAGAACTTCACAGATGAAGAAGAAATTGAGCTGGGTTTGACAGACAAGAGTGAGGTAAGTGTTATAGAGGCTAAAGGGCCAGTATGTCCATCCACTTAAACAACTGTTCAAATAACTGAAACAGTCACACCAAAAAAGCCAGATAGCAATAGTTCTTTAGCCCTGATCTACATCATGTCATTCACCAAATTTATCATCATTTTGACTCACTTCCTCAGGATCTTCTCCACTATCTCACTTCTACCTTCAAATATGAAAAAAAAAGGTGGGGGGGGGGGGGAAGAATAATCACACATAGGGCTTGTCGATACCTCTAAAAAGTATTTTTCAAGACTCTTGATTAATGCCTTCAGTGTCATTCCCCACTCTCCCTTAATCTGCCTGGGTATCTTTATAAACTTCAAAGTTATTTTCAGCATAAGAAATAATATCAAAAGATACTGAATACCCCTTAATCAGAATTGCATCTTACTAGTTTCACATCTTGCAAAACTACAGTATAATATCACAACCAAAATATTGATATTGAAATAGTTAAGATACAGAACATTTCTATCACCACAGAATCCCTCAGGTTGTGCTCCGCAGCCATATCCACCTCCCTGCCTTTCCCACCCCATCTTAACACCTGGCAACTACTAATCTGTTCTCTATTTCCATAATTTTGCCTTTTCAAAAGGCAAAATTTTATAGAGTTAGACTGTATGTGACCTTTGGGATTGGCTATTTTCAGTCAATATAATTCTCTGAAGATTCATCCAGAGTGTTACATGTATCAGTAGTTCACTCATTTTTACTGCTAAGCAGCATTCCATGGTATGGATGTACAACAGTTTATTCAACCATTGACTTATTGAAGGCTATTCAAGTTGTTTCCAGTTTTGGGGTGTTACAAATAAAGCCACTATAAACATACACATACAGGTTTTTGTGCAAACATGTCTTCATTTCTCTGGGATAAATGCCTAAGGGTGAAATTGTTAGGTTTTATGTCAGCTGCGTGTTCAGTTTTTAAGAAACTAGAAAACCATTTTCCAGAGTGATTGTAGCATTTTACATTCCCACCCATGACGTATGAGTGATCCTCTTTCCCTGCTTCCTTGCTAGCACTTGGAATTGTCACTCTTTTTTACATTGGCCATTCTGATAGGTCTGTACTGAGATCTCAGTGTATTTTTAATTTGTATTTCCGTAGTAGTTAATGAGGTTAAGCAACTTTTCATGTACTTATTTGCCATTTGTATGTCCTCTTTGTTAAAATGTCTCTTTATATCATTTGCCCATTTTCAAACTGGATGGTTTTTTTTACTATTGAGTTTTAAGAGGTTTTTTAAAAAATATATTCAAGATGAAAGTCCCTGTTTAAACAGATGTTTCCAAATAATTTTAAGTCCTCCTAACAGGCACTTCTGTGGAACAAAAATTTTTAATTTTATCAAGTTCAATTTATTACAGTTTCCTTTTATGAATTATGTTTTTTTGTGTCAAGTCTAAGAATCTAACTAGCCAGCCCTAGATTTCAAAGATTTCCCTATTTTTTTCTCAAAGCTTTTTATACTTTATATTTGAAATTAATTTCCATAATACTTACTGAGCTATTCAAAGCACCTATTTCATATTAAGTGTATAGTTTCTGGTTTTTTGAGAAAGTGGTCCACTTCTTCTGAATTGTTAAATTTATGTGTGCACAGTTGTTAGTAGTATTTCTATTTTACCTTTATAACATCTTCAGCGTCTATACCAAATTCCCATTGTTCATGTATAATATTGCTAATTTGCTAATTTCTGTTTTCTCTTTTCTTTATCAATATTCTTAGAGGTTTGTCACTTTTATTGATGTTTGCAAATAACTAGCTCTGTGTCATTGATTTTCTTTATTTTTTTTTCAAGTCAATTTCTGCTCTCATCTTTATTATCCCCTTCCTTCTGTTTCTTTTGGGTTTATTTTGCTGTTTTCTAGGTTCTTGAAATAAAAGATTAGATTATTGATTTAAGAGTTCTTCTCTTTTCAAATGTATGCCATAAATGCTTCTCTCAAAACTGTTTTAGTTGTGTCTAAACTGCTCTGCCCAAACCAGAATAGGGTCCCACAGACTAAAGCACTATTCAAATAGCTCAATGTGGCAATAATTTGGAAGGCACCAGTTAAAATCATGGACTCTGGTATCAGACGGCCAGGTTTGAGTCCTGGCTTTACTCGTCAGATGTTTTGGGCAAATTACCTAGGCTAAGTCTTGATTTCATTGTCTATACAATAGGGCTTATATAGTTCCTGTATCAGGATTAAATGATAAATTCCATCTAAAGAACACAAATAGTGTCATTAAAATGTGAGCATTGAATAAATGTTTTCATGCCAGCAGACAAATCCACTGAAACAGAACTGCTCTATGGTCTTTAACTAAATTCTAAATTAATATCAACATCAAAACTGCATCATATTGTTTCTCTCATCTTTTTCTATGTCTTCATTTGACACAGTTCCAAAAGGTTGCCTTTTAAAGTAACATCAGTCCTCAGGGACTCTCGATCTCTAACCTTCTCATTTGAAATCAAACAAGCAAAAACTTTTTTAAAAAACCACCTAAGGAATCTCACTGAAGATTCTCGGTGTAAAGTTATTCCTAGATATATGTTTATCTCACTGTTTCTGAAAGAAAATAAATTTAAGAGAAAAGACAATTTCAAAATTACTGCAGACTAATTAACTATGGACTTTGCAATTTAAACTCCTATGTCTCCCAAGAAGATAATGAACAAGGTTTAAGTCTTATTTATAAAGATATTACTTTTAAATAAATTAAAAACCAATTGAATTATTCCATTTTTAATAACTTACCCATCAAGCTCAGCAGTTTCAACATAACAGAGACCATGTGGTTCACTACTTGATAGGAGAAGTAAATCAGCCTATTTTCAAAAATCATAACAAAAGAATACTTGAGAAGGGAAGACTGGTGGAAAGTCTTTTACAGTATATCACCTCTTGACTACTGAAGAGCCAACAGAGCCTTAGAAACACAGTAAAAGATGTGAGATCCTGTTCTACCTCTTTGTCATATGCCCTGAATCAAACCCTGCCTTTTCCTTTTCCTCTTTATATGTCCCTTGACTATCACAATATAAGCAAGGAAAGGAGATGTCATGTGAATTAATAGCCACTTGATTCACTTTTTTTGAATAAAATGTATAAATTCTATTTTCTTGCTTTGATAATTACATAAAACTCTCTCCAATAAATAATTGGAAATATGTGCACAAACTTTAATTGCCTAGTATCATCAGTTAAGAGCAGGGAGCAGGCAAAGGAGATGGGGAAAGGACAGAAGGGAAACAGATGGAGGAAACTAAAAAAATAAAATAAAAATGAGAGAGGCAAGGAAGTTAAGAAAGAGAGAAAGGCTGAAAGAAAAAAAGATGAAGAAAAAAGATGATGGGGAATAAGAAAGAGAAAAGCTAGGATAAAGCAGGGGCTAAGGAAGAGAGCAAGACAGAAGAAAAAATGCAGTTAAAGGCAGTGGGAAAAAAATCAGAGGCTGAGTAGTTTGGGTTTTTCAGAGATAAACAGTTCTATTCTGACATCCAGCTGAGCTTTGCAAATCACCTATCATAATTCAGTTTTAGAATCCTGGTTCCCCCCTAAATTGGGAAACTGCTTATCTATTTTATTTCAAACTTCTAAACTTACTTTAAAAGTAAGTGTTTTTATAAAATTTTGAAGGGTCTAAATGTCTAAAAAGAATTGGCTTAAATTTTACCAATTTAGTTTCAGGCATTAGCCTAACAATTTTCTAGCTAGGTCTGAATGTATGATTGGCATTCCAAATCTGTGAAATTTTCTTACCTTTGTTTTTATAAACATTAGAATTGTCTTGTTCTTGAGTCTTGGGGTTAAATTTAGGATCAATTTACCTTCTTGATTGTCTCAAGCTTTTAAATTTGCAACTGAAAAACTGTGTGTGTGTGTGTGCGTGCGCGCGCGGTTTTGTCTAAATTGGGATAAAACAGAGCTTAGGTTAAAAAAATCCTATGACAGCCCTTAAAGGAGTAAATGGGTTTGCATTACCAAGGCTGTTACACAACTCTGAATGTAAGAGCCACAGAAGCTTGTTGAGGCAGAAATGTTCTGACTTGTCACACTGTGAACAGAGCAAAGCCACATAAAGAACATAATGCCGCTCTTGAACCAAAAAGTACCCATTCTGATTTTATAAGGCAAAAAAAAGTTTTTAAAAAATTCACCTTCATCTTATTTCCCACATTTAAATTTCAGTGCATAAAAGCAGGCATAAGGTACTACAGCAATAGAGCTTAATCAGTCTGTGGGCCTGCACCTCTCCCCCGCTGAGCTTAAAAGGCTCATTTTAAACAAAGTCCAAACTTGCAGTTATGACGTATAGAGAAAGATGCCTATTTGTACCCAGGGCTGCTCTTCGAAACTCGAATCCAGTGTTTCTGTTAAAGACTGGGCGGGGCTGCGCTGACACTCCCAGCGTGGAGAACAAGGGGAGGAGTCCCTGCACACAGCTGGCTCGGAACACGTGACTGAGGCGCCAATGCCATCTGGCGGCCAGATTCTCTCCTGAGCAGTTACTCAGCTTCCCACAGGCTGACCCCCACGGATTCCACGCTAACTGTTCCTGCTCTCTTTACTCCCCAGGACCGAGACAGCTACCTTCCCCACCTCCGCCCGTCTCCCCAGCTACCACCTTTTCCTTTGATACTCTCTGGACCTTCCTCCTGTTTACAAACTCCTTGATTGCCCTCTGCACTCCCTCCATCCATCCTCCATTCTCCCTGCCCCTCTGCTGAGTCCTGCTATTTATTCCCTTTTGTTAACCTCCTATCTTCAAGGCTGTTTAATTCATTGTGGTTGAGGCGGGGACTGCGAAGGGAAGGACCAGAAGGGCCAGGAGGATAAGTAGTCAATGCATTCATCGTCATGCAGGCAGGCCTATTTTCTAGTGCACTCAATCATAATTCTGAAAAGGAAAGGGCAGGAGAGCTGAAGAAAAAACCCTGCTCATCCCTTGTCACCCTTTTGCCAGAGGTGCTGGGCCAGGAGTGAAGTACAACACATGGATTTGGGGACCCACCTGCCCCAGGACTCTTGAATCTTAGAGCAGGCCTCCTCAAGCTTACCCTTCCAGTAACTCCTAGGGGGACTCAATTCCTAGCTGATCCAGAAACTTGTGTTCCAGGTATAGGTGTTTATGATTCCAAATAATGTAGCTAATATTTAGTGAGGGTTTACTATGAGTCCAGCATCGTTCTCTTTAACTCACAGAAATCATGCAGCACAGGTCCTATTGCTATCTCTGCTTTCCAGATGAGCAAAGTAAGGCCCAGAGGAGTTCAGTAACTTCCTCAAGGCCACACAGTAAGTGGAGGTGCCAGGATTTGAAGGTAGGCAGTATGAGGCATTTACTGCAAGGGATATCAAAATGAGTAAAAACCTCTTTGCTTCAAGGATTTGTATGGTTAAATAAAGGCAGAATATAAGGGTTCTAAGAGCCTCATTAACACAGCACTATGAAAGCAGTGCAAATGAGTCTGCAACATTGGATTGGTAATTGAGGAAGGGCATCATGGGAGATACTAGATGCAATGAAAGGAGGTCCCCTAGGCAGAATGACTAACAGGAGTAAAAAAGAGGAAAGGAAAAGCATGACTAACCAAACTCAAGGTGGCAAAGGAAATCATTAATTCCAATCAGAATCACCTATCATATGTCCCATTTTTACTTTCTTTCAGTTCTTCTGATGGGTGTAATAGAATCTGTTCCTCCCTCACTGCTGGGCTAGATCTGACCTCCTCAGGTTTCTCATCCACACAATGGGAATAATATTACTGAATTATTAGTGTCTTTTATCCTTGATCTGCCAGGAGAGGCTCTGCTATGTCCTCCATGAAGGAAGTGGTATTTTCCAACACAATGCCCCTTCCCCAGCTTCCATGGGATACAGAAAGCAAATATTCCCATCAAATGGAACCTGAAAAGAATGCACTGAACACCTTCAGGTTCTCAGAGCCAAAGACATTGTCCTCATAGGTTTATTAGGCATAACTAGTGTTTGCTGAGAATAAAGTAAAGAATAAAGTAAAACATAAAGCAATGATAACACCTTAAAGCTATATAATTCTTGAAGGATTTATAAAACACTGTCTCAGAATTGTGTCATTTTACTCTCTTAACAACCATGTGAGTGAGTAATATTATTCCCATTGTATGGATGAGAAAACTGAGGAGGTCAGATCTAGCCCAGCAGTGAGGGAGGAACAGATTCTATTACACCCACCAGAAGAACTGAATTAACTCATGTAAAGCCCATCACCCTTCCAAATCTTTAAGGAACCCAAGACTCCAAGAGACTTAACATCATCCTCATGGACACGCATAGCTTAAATGGCAGACCTAGAACTAGAATTCAGAACTTCTGAACCCAAAATGTATGCTCTTTTCTTCTGGTGGGCTACTAAATCACTGGAACACAACTATGAAAAACACAGTGTTTCACTTTGTTTTATAGCTTTGCTTTGTTGGTATTCAAAAATCAAAATTACAACATGCAAGAATATCTGGATTGTAGATCTATGACCTGACGGAAAGATAAATTTGTAGAATTAAGTTGAACACTTTTGGATCTCCTTTTATTTTTTAGGCCATTCTCACACATAAAGTCCTTCATATTTTCTATCATCTACAACATTATTTTAATCCAAAAATAAAAATAAAAACCCAAAATAGCTAATGCATTGTGTCAAAAATCAGAATGAGATCTTAAAAATGAAAATGTGTATGGTTATAGGTAAATTTGTATTTAAAATTTAAATTTCAAGTCAAATAAATGCATATCGATTATCCACTAATATGTACTAAATGTATCATTGTTTTTCCAATTACAGTGATTTGAAAAGAATAAGAAAAAGATGGTAATAAGGAAGAGGAAGAAAGATGAGAATTATAATGGACATCATAAAACATATTAACAGGCATGCTGTTCCTCTAGTTAAAAAAAAATTCTTGCCTACGTATTTTACTCCCACTAATTGGTAATTGCTTATACACAGAAAATTGACCATTTACTTTTTTTAATGTCAAAAATAGCATATTGTTACCCTATACTTTAGCAAGAAGCTTCTTCAAAACAGCTTTGCTAAATGTTTTTTTAAATCTTCTTCCTCTGGAAATTCCCAATTTTCTACTGTCCTATAAATATGACATTAGATATATATCAGAGAGAGAGGGAGACAGACAGACAAACAGAAAGGGATACAGAGATAGAGATGGCTTATTTACAGCAAATAGATTTGAATAACAAGCAACTTTACTTGAAGCTATAAAACTTAAAATTGCAATGTGGGCAATGAGACTACAAAAAAAAAAAAAATGCCTCTCTGGAAGAATGTCCAAGAAAGGTATTGAAAAAGAATAGATTCTATTCCCTGATGGGTCAAGAAAGAGCAAAAGCCCACCCCCATCAGGCCTAGTGTTTAGGTCAAATTAATCTTTCTAACCCTGTCATCTCTGAAAGGTAAAATTGTCAATTCTTGTATCAGAAGAATGTCTTGGTTTTAAAACAATTCGATGAAATTCCTTTTTGTGAAAGGAAAAGAATGACTTTTCAAACAAGCTAAACAACTCAATTCTGTTAATGTCCAAATATGCTCATGCCCAGGAAGGGCTTTATTTCTATCACCAGCTAAGAAAAGTGAAATGACACTAGCGCACTGCTGTCAAGTGAAGAGGAAAGGTATGCTTGGCTCCCACGGTCTGAGTTCTGGTGCTATCAGGAACTCTGCAGTATGTTTTTCTAACAAAATTTGTTTGGTTCTTCTAATGCAAGTTAATCTCCTTGTGGTATCTGAATTATAATCTGCATTTTTTCCTGGTCCCCCTAAAAAACTAGGAACTCTGGCAATTCAGCCCAAAAGTATTCTTGAATTAAAATTTATATACAAATACAGAACAAGGGAATTCCCTACATAAACAACAAAGGTGAGTAACTTCTGAATATGTCAGCAAATTGGCATCATTTGCTGGTGAGTTTTCCCTTGCTTAAAGTTTACTGATGAACTGACATAAATCAGGCTGCAAATTCTAAGACTGAACAGCTAGAAGTTATGCATCTGCATTAGGCACCACATTTTCTGATCACTTGACTTCTAGCATCCAAGCCCAGAGCCCCTAATTCTGGTAGCCCAGACTCAAGTCAATGAGGATGACTGTTCCAATGGAGTCAGAAGTGGGGGTACTTGAGCTAGACTGCATAGACTTAACACCTGACTGTCCCATTGGCAAGCTATTTGACAGCACTGTGTCTCTGTTTTCTCATCTGTAAAGTGAGAGCAATAAGAATACTTCATGTCCTGCCTTTACTGGCTAATGTGAGGATTAAATTAGTTAATCACATAAAGAGCTTATTGTGTGGCATGTGGCACATGGTCAATAAATGCTAGCAATTGTTTTCATGGCCTTCATGACGTGGTTTCCCCCAAATCAACCTCGGTATAACTCCTAAGTGGGTCTCATTCAGGGTCCCATAAATTTTGCCCTCTGAATATAAGCTCTCTGAAGCCCCTGCCAGCTAATACCAGAGTGCAGGGGGGTATATTAGTAGTCCTAAGTGATTCCAGTGGTTCATCTAAAAAAATATTTTCTTGCTCTTGAAAATGGTTTTGTAGGTGCTGAGTAGCTAGACATAGAAAAACTTTGAACAAAATTACCTAATCAAGAGGTGCTGGGAGGTGGATTTGGAGGACTCCTATCCTCAGATATCCAAAGATTAGGCCAACAAACCACAAATGTAGGAGTCAAACAGGGAACAATGGAGATAAAAATATCATCTTTTTTTTTATAAAGCTGTTATTGATAAAGGCAAGGCTTTAGGTCTGTGGCCCGAATGGGCTTCACCCCTATTAGACAAGTTCAATGAGCCACAGATGCTGGAAGCTCTAAGTTGCCCTGGCCCTCCCACTATCCCCACTACAGGAATTTGCTTCTGCAAAATTTGTAGCATGGAAGAGCAGAGCAGAATGGACTCTGCACACAGGCGTGGCTGAAAGAGAACAAGAAGTAAGAAAGCATCACTGGGTCATGTGCACCACTCCCAGCCACCAAACTCACCCATCAGAAAAGTCACTGCTGGGAGACAGGAGTGAGCAAGTGGGTGAAAGACACTTAGAGTGTTATTTTGATGCTTTCCCTCCAAATGAAAACAGGAGGAAGAGTGGAAAATAAGCATTCTCACCCCATCATGGGAACCACCATAAAAAGCCACATCTGTGTGTCTAATACAGTAGCCACAAATCACATGTAGCGATTTAAATCTAAATTAATTAAAATTCAGAATTCTGCTCTTCGACTGTACTTGTACTTGCCTTCTGTATCTCATTTCACTGAAGATTTTGCCATAGAAAGTAAGTATACATACTGTAATATAGAAAATATAACTAAATTAAAAACAACCAAGGAAAATTGTAATAAATAATGAATAATAAATACTATTATTATAGTATTTATAATACTATGGTATTAGTAAACAAATGAGTCCAGTCTGATATTCACCCTTATTAGATAGAGCACGTTCATGGGACTCCTAAGACTTATTGTTTTTACTGAATACCTGAAGTAGAAACATACCTAACATTGCCCCTGAAATATTCACTTCCAAATAAAATGATAGTTAAGTGTGTGGTATATATCAGTTTATGCTAATTCGTCTATAATCTGACACAAATCTGGCTAAAGTAGTTACCAAAAAAATTTGAATGCACACATCTTAGAATTCTACAAGTGCTTTTTGTTTGTTTGTTTTTTATAAGTTAAGGTTTTCCACTTAGAAGAACCAAAACTCTTTCATTGTAATCATTTTAATTGAGAGTAGAATTTGAATGAGTTTCCTGGAGCCATTTCTTCCTTGACAAAGAACCCTGAATATATATGATCTTTAATTAGGACAGATACCATGTACTGGTATCCCATTGATCCAGGACACCTGAATTTTTGTAAATTTATGTCCACTTTTCTTTTTTTTTTTCTCTCTCTCTTCTTTCTTACAAAGATCAACACTTACTTATTCAGCCAACATTTACCAAATACCCCTGATGATAGAATATGGCACCAAGTGTTAGAGGACAGGCAAATCAATGTGTGCTTTGCCTGCAAGATTCTTATAGTCTGGTGTCAGCTTAGACAGAGAGTCACAGCATGGAAGGGATTTTTGAGATCCTATAGTGCTAGACCTTGATTTGACACACGGACAAACCAAAGACAAAGAAGATAAAGTATTTCCTGTCACTGAAGGAATGAAGCAAAGCCTCAGTTCTCACCCAGTTCCCCATCTAGTGCCTTTACACTGGATCTACCTTGATTCCACGTACAGAATATGTCCTAACAGATACCACCTTCCAGGGTATTATTCCTAATCTTTATTGAGCTGCAAAATAAGTTGGACAAGCAAATTTAGGTTGTGGCTTACGTATAAGTAAATAGATCGTGAGTGAGAACCTAGCAAACTGTTCTACTTATAGGGAGTTTAGCCCAGAGAGGACTTTGAGACCTCTGTTTTGGCTGCCAACATTTTTTGTTTAGTTTTGGTTCCCAGATATTTTCCAAAGCATTAAGGTTACCAGAAAAATAAGCACTTCTCTAACTAAAGTGTGAACTCTTTGGTGATTGGCCCGTCCACTGAGCAGTATCCTTAACGTGGGTGGTTCTGGAGAATTCAGTATACACAAACGGTGCATTAATGAAAGAAGACTGTTTCCGAAAGTAAACGTTTAGGAGTCCTAACTGAGTTGTTCTTGTAAACAGCTCTTGGGCCATATTTTTTTACCCCTGTGGTAAAATGTCTCAACCTGATATACAAAATAGCACTCAACACAAAGAATTTTATATCTAATCTAATATATATTTGACATAATACAATAACTTGAATTTTTAATCTGATCTCGAAAGCTTTTGTTACCTTAAATTTAATTTGAACTATAGTTACATATACTTTCATGATTAGACTGATCCCTTCAATTTTATTTAGGAAATTATAACATAGACCACTTGAGTAAATAAATTATTGTATATTTGATATACAAAGTAAAATTGCATTAACATATATTAATTTAGCACAATCAATACACATTTTCTAATTTTTAAGGAAGAAACATACTTTTTTTCTCTAGCTTATGTTTTCTTCAAATATACTATAAATTAACAATACTAATCTGGATATTAACAGTACTAATCAAAAACTTTTAAAGTACTCAGGAGCAATTTAAAAACTCTTATTTATATCAAATACTGGCTTTCTTTTTTTTTTTTTTTTTTTTTTTTTTTGTATCTTTAGTAGAGACGGGGTTTCACCGTGTTGACCAGAATGGTCTCGATCTCTCGACCTCGTGATCCACCCGCCTCGGCCTCCCAAAGTGCTAGGATTACAGGCTTGAGCCACCGTGCCCGGCCACAAATACTGGCTTTCTAATGCAAAATCTTTTGTTCCTATTAATTTAAAAGATCCCTAGGGAAAGAGAAAAGTGATAATCACTCAACCTTATGTGAGTTACCATATTACTGAACTAATAAATCAATGTCTTATAAAATATTGTATAATTGAGACTTTTTACTAATACATCCTGATGATAGTCCCTCTTTAATTATTCTGGGTTAGTACAGGCTTACTAAATTTGCAAGTGTAAATACTTCCATATATATGCTACTTTAAACTGATATAAATTCTTCAAACAATAATGAATACTCACAGCAACAAATTGGTTATTTTCTAATTTAATGATGTCCCCCACTTTGACATTCATCCATTTTTCATTCTGTAGTCTAAAAACAAAAAGAAAATTAATTTTTCTCAAGAATGAAGAATCAAAAGTATAACCAAGGGAATATATTCACAATGTAGCATCATGTAACAGAAGAGTAAGATAAGACTTTCCTAGAATGGTAAATTCAAAACGGCCTTACATTAACATGGGAACAAAGGCCCAGAGAGGTTAAGTGATTTCTCAAAGATACCCAGTGAGTTAGTGGTACTTCTGGGCTAAACTCAAGATGCCTAACTCTTGGCTGAGCACTCTTTCCACCATCTTCATGGTGCCAGCCTTATGTAGCAACTATGAAATGTCAATAAATTTTACTCATTGACATTCTTTTCAAACTCTGTATTAATAAATACAGAAACATCACTGCCGTTGCCCCAGAAGTCTATTTAACTGGAGGCAAAAAAGTGAAGGAGACAGCAGCAAGGTAGAGCAACAGCTAAAATGCAAGGAAAAATATGTTAAACTCTGGAAAGGACAAGAATAACAAAGCATAATAAAAGAAGCCTTGGAATACTGAAGAAGGACCATCTACAAACCAGCACTGAGGCTGAAGGGCAGGATTGGTGGCATTCTAACAGGACAGCCGCTCAGAATAGAGAACAACAAGGTCAACCTACTGCACTGCTGTCTGTGCATCTCATGTATATGATGGAGCCCCAAGCCCAGCCTCCACCAAGTTCAAAGCGGTTTATTATATGAAAAGATATTGCATCCACTGGATCTGGCCCCTGGTGACAAGTTAGTCAGACCTGCCCAAAACAAGGCAGGCCCTCTGGATATAGACCACCTGGGGCAGTATACCATGATGCTAATCATCCCTTCTGAAATTCCCTGAAATGTAAACCAACTTTGTTTTCCAACTTGAAGCTTTCAACACATTTCTTTCTCAGAGATTCCCTTCTAAGAGAAAAGGTTAGGATGAGTAGAGCAGGTTTCCCCAACAAGTTGAGATAGACATGCTAATTTCACTGTACTTGAAAAAAATAACCTAATTTACTTGTTTTATAGGCTGGAAAATAGTTTTAAATATTTATACAACTGTGAAATATGCCTCACACTATCAACTCTGCTGGATCATTTGGCTTAAACACTCAAAGAATTTTCTTTAATATGGATCCAAGTACATGTTGTTCTGGACATTTTTCAATTGCAGTATTTTCATCTCTAGCCAGAATTCAATCATTTTTCCAGTGCTACACTTTTCTGAACTTTATCTAGTTTGACAGCAATAAAAGACCCTAGGAAGCCTTCTAAATCTTATTTATCTTCACAGGTATGGATTATGTGCTGGTTAATTTCTCCTAGAGACACCTCCTCTGACACCTTAGTGACATTTCTCAGCAAACAGTATCTCAGAAAAAGTAGGCATGAATGGACAGAGAAGGCTATTGTGCCATTTTTGAAAACTGCACTGCTACCAAATTGCCTTGAAGTCTCCATTGAAAATGCACCTGCCTCAGGAAGAGGTCAAGATGATATTGTATTTTACTTCCAAACTCTTATTCTTCCAACTTGTATAGTACAAACTCTAGAAAGGATTATACAAGAAATAGTAACCAGTAGTCCTGGATGTTGATACCAAGCTGAGCACAATCCAAACTGCTTCATCAATAACCTATAAAATGGACAAGTGGACACACTTGTCAAATTTGTGGACAGCACCCTAACAAGAAGAAAGCACAGCCCTCACAAAGTAAGATGATGATAGGAAACTGTCTGATGATTTGACAAAGTTATCAGAAACTGAATGAAGAGTAAGAAAAGGAAGTACAAAATAGATTATTTTTGAGAGGAGAAAGTTACACTCTACAAATGCAACTAGAGTTTACAGAAAAAGAACCTAGAGATATTAGTAAACCATAGGCTGTGTGAGATGCCTTGAGTAACCTCTGATTTGAATATATCCCTGCAGAACAATCAGTATGGACAATATAATCAGAAGAGTTTTCATGTTATTTGCTATTTTGTATTATCAAATATCAATAAATACAACTGCACTTAACTAGGAACTCAGAGATACATTTAATGAGCACTAGGGTCATACCAACAGAAGTATCCAAACCTATTGAATAAGCATAAACTGATAAAGACCTGCAAACAAATTTAAATAATATATATTTTGAATCCAACGATGTTTCTTGTCCTACCTACAACCACCACCACTGACAACAATACATAAAATATATCCCAGCAGGACTGGAGGGGAAGACAAAATGATTTGCTTTAAAACTCATCTTCAAAATATTTCTAGACTTCTAAAATTGTAGATTGTACAGTGATAGGGTTTCGTCAGCACCTTGAAACATGAAAACAGACACTCCCTAGCTCTACACGTGTGATGCAGCTGTACTCAGTGTTCACGTTTAAAGCAATCTTGCACCATAGCTCTGCTAGAGGGACATAGGATGGCCTTTTGGGCTATGGAGGTGACACTGGCTCCACAGACTCAGCACGTTCAAACTTTGCTTGTGCCATTGTCAAATGGTAAAAGCTCCTGTGGATGAATTGCAGTATATGAATATTCTGAAAAGAAAGAAGAAGTTCTAAGATTTTAAAATGTGGCTCAATTTTCAGCATCATATAATTATTTCAAGAGTATAAAACTCTAACATGACCTAATTAATGCTTCTTAGAATCAGTTCTTTTAAATATATATGGGATAATAAGTTAGCCTTTAACTTAGCAAATTCGTAAGTCAGTTGCTAAATAAGCCAAAATCCAAGTAAAACATTCATAAAATTTAAATTCCAAAGGCACCATAAAACATATGGAGTTTAACTGCCACAGAATGACAACTAGAATTATTTTAAGCAAAAATTTTTTAAAATATCACTATGTATCTACTCGCAGAACTCTGAATTCTAAGAAAAATAGGTAAGAGATAGCAACCGCAACTAATAATTTTTGATGAACTGGTCTGAACCTGCTTCTTCCTGATGAGGCATAGCATACTAAGAGCTGCCAGACTTCGCTGAAAATCTCCTTGAGAAAATTCAAGTCTGAGAGTAAGGTAGAATCTACCATGCTCCATGTCACTAGACTATTGTTTTCAAAAGCTGAAAATCAAGTGTTCACCTTAACCAACACTTTTGCAAGCAATATTGCAAGTGCATTATTAAAGCTTAAGAAACAAAAGAGGGGATTTTCAATAGGTTCATCAGGTCATCTTTTCCATGTTCGATTGCTCCTGATTTCCCACCAGCAACACAGATTCCTGAAGAGGGGGATTTCCTCACAAGCTTCAGAAGTGTTGGGGTACTAGAGACAGAAGATAATAAAGGTCAATATAATTGACCTCCTCTAATTAACCAATCAATCCACTTAATGCTGAGCTTGGTTTCTTCTTTAATCTCAAGCACATATCAGCCCTATAACATTCAATAGTATCCTCTTGCTCATACACTTTCTTTTCTTCATCACTCCATCCTAAGAACTTAAAATAATGTCTAGTTCATAACACTTAGTAAGTATGTGTTGAATGAATGATAAATAAATTAAGGAATATAGAATCATTATTTCCAAAAACATTTGTTGAATGATAGCATTTGCCTGAAAGTCTAATAAGAATTATAGCAGCCAACATTTATTTAGTGCTTACTGCATTCCAGGGACTGTACTGATATATAGGGCACCAAATAAAAGTAAATAACGCCTCATTAAATTTGAATTTCAAATAAACAAATTATTTCTAGTATGTATTCCATCCAATATTTAGGACATATTTATACAAAAACATTATTGTTTATCTAAAATCCAAATTTAACTAGAGTCTTATATTTTAATTTGCTGTATCTGGCAACACCACTAACGCATCTTATCTCACTCCATCCTCACAACAGCCCTAGAAATATGTATTGTTTTGACTCCCGTTTTACAGAATAGGACATTGAGGTTCACAGAAATTGAGACCTTTGCCTTATTTTGCAGTACCTATCAAAAGTTTAAATGACCACACACTTTGATAAAGATATTCCACTTCAAAAAACTGATCCTACAGGTACTCAAGTATGAATGTACCAGGATCTTTATTGAAGCATTATTTGCAACAGAAATTGATTAGAAGCCACAAAAATATCCATCAATATGAATTAGATAGATGTACCACAAAACACTTATTCAATCATGGTTCATTCACTCAATGGAATATAGTGCAGCCACTACAAAGAATAAGGTAGGTTTGTATGTGCTAATATGAAATATGCTATAAGTTCTATTATTAAGTAACGTAAAAAGAAGCACATGTAGGATATATCATACATTTTTACAAGCAAAGAAAATTTCTTGAAAGATACACAAGAAAATACTGTGGTTGACAGTAGAGAAATAAAATAAAGAAGAAACATGGGATCGGAAACAATTTCCATCATTTGTACTGTTTAAATTCCTTGGCATTATACAAATTAGTATTTCAATGGCCAATTGGAAAGAAGAATAGAAGAAGGAGGAAGAAATAGAAGAAAACTTTGTAAGGCCACATGTGAGTGGCAGGTCTAGGACCAGAACTGAAGTCTGTCTGGCTACAAAGCCCATGCTCTTAATAAATCTATATTTATTGTTCCTTTTTACTTTATTTTCCAGAGTAACTGTGGATTACCTATTTAGGAAAAGATTGGACCGTAAGGAACTAAAAGGATTCAATCATGGAAACAGTGCACACTCTCAGCATTTAAAACCAATTGATCCAAGACGGCTTGCAATCATGGTCCCCTGATACAAACACTCAGCGGACAGCAGCAGTTTCTGGTTCTTTTCAATTCCAGTATCATCAGAGCTGTACTAGAGGAAAGCATATAGCTTGGCCCTAGTCTGCTAATAACAGACTGGTGAACAGGATCTCATTACATTGAGAATGAACATAACGTTCCTATCTTTGGAATCTATTTATTCTGAAGAATGCAGTATTTTTTTCTCCCTTCTTAGCACAATGCTTATGTTGAGGCCAAATCACACAAGGATGTCTATGGTCAGCTGCTGAAGATGATCTCATACCAATTTTGCCAG